CCAACTCATATCATTGTGGGAAAATTCTACTACCAGTCCTTCATCACCTCACACGAAATAGGGTGAATACATCTCATTAGATGTCATTTATGACATTACATTTTTGACAAACTAAATCCAATTACTTTATTTGGATGCTATAAAATGAAGTAATTTTGATTTCAAGATTTATCGAATGTAGCTTTTCAGTAAAGAGGCACATGTTCAACTGAGCGTCATCCATTTTTGAGTTATTTGTTGAGAACTTAAAACATGTCTTCGCGCTTTAGTATGGAGTACCCAGGCCTTGTATAGTGAAAATGGAGAAAACGAGTCATGGGGTACCAAATGTATAGGACAAGAAAAGCTAAAAGCAAGGATTAGGAGTTTGAAAAAGAAGACGATCGTGAAGTGTCTTGCTAGTGTAAGAGCGCAGTGTACGGTTACATAAAGTCCCAACAGCTCAGCGGGAACGACCGAGAAGCGGCAGCGAGTCCAAGAAGTTTGTGGCTTAAAAATACTCCGGAGTACTTTTAATGTCATCTTCTGCTCGGTTCAACCAGGAGGCTCGATGTAGTGGTTAGGTCGGCGGGACATAGTACCAATTAGTCGTGCTCCAAACGGTGTTACGTGAGTTGAGTGATAACTAATCTCCGGCTGGTTGTGACGAGAGGAGTGACAAAAGTGAATGTGGAGCAGAAGTCACTATGTGCTCACTGTATTACGATTGCGTGATTTTTTATCGTAAAAGAATAAAGGCTAAAATATTCCTTTTGGTTCCCATAATATTACGACATATTGTCGTCATGAAAGTGGGAAGGGTAGGTATGGTGGCCAGTGGAATATACAAAGAAATCTCGTGGGATGCATGGTTGATGTTACCTCTTAGTGATGCTATCGCAAAATGATGAATGACTTTTCTCACACAAAGTACTTTATATGTACTTGCCTCCAGAAGTCCTCTGAATTTATATCTTTGCTTTATTCTGTTTGCGATAAAGTCTTAGATAGATGCTGTTGTGAGCATTTATTGCTTTTGTGTTGGTGCAGCCTCAAGCAAAAACAGTCCTTCCGGAAACTGGAATATGAAAATACATATTTTTCGAATAAGGTATTGTTTTCGTGACTACCACTAAATCAGTAATATGAGATGTATTCACCCAATTTGGTTTAAGGTGATGAAAGACTGGTAGAAGGAGAATTTTCCCACAATTATATGAGTTGAGCTGACGTTTCCATTAAATTTTCACATAGCCTTGCTTTGCCAAAAGTTGTTCTTATCCAAGCACCAGGGGACTGCAGTTTCGACCTCGCATCGGTCTTATCAACACCCTCAGCGGGAGTCGAACTGCGACAGTGGAGGATGGGAGTTTGACACGTTAACCACTCGGCTACACTGCCACGAGCGCCTTTTGGGTCACAGGGCAAATGTAAATTTTCA